CCTCCGTCAAGAATACAGCAGCACCGCACCCGGGCTCGCCGGGCACTCCGACCCAGTCGACAGCCCACAGCTTGTCGCGGTACAGTTTTGACCTGTTGTTGTACCTCTTATCCGCATCTTCAGGACACCTACGACCTTTCGCTGGAGGACATATCAAAAAGAAAAAGAACGAGGAATGCATCAATGACACCTATCTCTATCTCCCACATCACGAGATGAAAAAAAAATTAAAATACAAAAGCAATTCCACGCCACATGCCGACGACAAACCTATCTCTACCTCACACTATGGGCAGCAACCGCATGTGTCGACCCTGGGAATCGCGGGGGTCCTGAGTTTGCCAAACGCAGGACCCCCGACTGCCGACCGACACATCGGGGGGGGAGGGGGGGCGGGGGGCCCTGCGTCTGACTAACGCAGGGCCCCCCCCCACCGATGAATCGGCTGATAGCCGGGGGATCCTGCGTTTGACAAACGCAGGACCTCCCGCTACCGGCCGGCACATTGGTGGGGGGTCCTGCGTTTAGCAAACGCAGGACCCCTGCCGATGTGTCGGCCACTAGCCGGGGGTCCTGCGTTTGTCAAACGCAGAACCCCCGGCCGGTAGGGGACAATCAGGGGGAGTGGGGTGTCGCGCGTTTACCAAACGTGGTGGGTCCTGCGTTTGCCAAACGCAGGACCCCCGGCGGGTGCAAGTTTCTATCGCGGGGGGGTCCTGCATTTGTCAAATGCAGGACCCCCGGCGGGTGCAAGTTTTTATCGCGGGGGGGTCCTGCGTTTGTCAAACGCAGGACCCCCCTCGCGTTTGGCCCGAGCACCCGCCGGGGGGCCTGTGTTTGGCAAACGCAGGACCCACCGGATGCAGACCTCCCGAGGCAATCGCTGGGGGTCCTGCGTTTGCCAAACGCAGGACCCCTTCCGCGATTGCCCCGAGCACTCCACGACACGGGTCCTGCGTTTGGCAAACGCAGGACCCCCCGACCGACTGCCAGGGCAATCGCGGGGGGGGTCCTGCATTTGCCAAACGCAGGCCCCCCGGCGGGTGCTCGGGCCAAACGCGCGGGGGGTCGTACGTTTGGCAAACGCAGGATCCCCCGCGCGTTTGCCTCGAGCACCCGCTGGGGGTCCTGCGTTTGGCAAACGCAGGACCCCCCGGATGCCGACCGCCTGAGGCGAACGCGGGGCGTTCTGCGTTCGTCAAACGCAGGACCCCCCGCGCGACTGCCCCAAGGAAACACGCAGGGGGGTCTTGCGTTTGGCAAACGCAGGACCCCCCGCGCGTTTTCCCCGGGGCAATCGCGCGGGGGGTCTTGCGTTTGCCAAACGCAGGACCCTCCGCGCGTTTGCCCCGGTCACCCCCACATTTTTGTTGGATCCTACGTGGCCAGCGACCGATCCTACGTGGCATTACACATAATGACAATCTCATTTTTGTTCAAAAGTTCGAAAAAAAAAAAGGGGGAGGGTTCGATCCCCCCCCATTGAGGTCAGCGCCTGATCCTACGTGGCATTACATATAATGACAATATCAGTTTTGTTGAAAAGTTCGAAAAAAAAAAAGGGAGGGTTCGATCCCCCCCCATTAAGGTCAGCGCCTGATCCTACATGGCATTACACATAATGACAATCTCAGTTTTCTTGAAGAGTTCGAAAAAAAAAAGGGGGAGGGTTCGATCCCCTCCCACTAAGGCCAGCGCTTGATCCTACGTGGCATTACACATAATCACGATCTCATTTTTGTTGAAAAGTTCGAAAAAAAAAAGGGGGAGGGTTTGATCCCCCCCCATTAAGGTCAGCAACCGATCCTACGTGGCATTACACATAATGACAATCTCATTTTTGTTGAAAAGTTCGAAAAAAAAAAGGGGGAGGGTTCGATCCCCYYCCSYTAAGGCCAGCGMCYGATYCTACGTGGCATTACACATAATGACAATCTCATTTTTGTTGAAAAGTTCGAAAAAAAAAAGGGGGAGGGTTCGATCCCCCCCCATTAAGGTCAGCGCCTGATCCTACGTGGCATTACACATAATGAAAATCTCAGTTTTGTTGAAGAGTTCGAAAAAAAAAGGGGGGAGGGTTCGATCCCCCCCCCCYTAAGGCCAGCGACCGATCCTACGTGGCATTACACATAATCACGGTCTCATTTTTGTTGAAAAGTTCGAAAAAAAAAGGGGGAGGGTTCGATCCCCTTCCACTAAGGTCAGCGCCTGATCCTACGTGGCATTACACATAATCCCGATCTCATTTTTGTTGAAAAGTTCCAAAAAAAAAAGGGGGAGCGTTCGATCCCCCCCCCATTAAGGCCAGCGACCGATCCTACGTGGCATTACACATAATGACAATCTCAGTTTTGTTGAAAAGTTCAAAAAAAAAATATCTCAGTTTTGTTGAAAAGT